TATTTTAATTTTAGTTTACATTTCTGTAATTTTGTATACTTTTGTCATTTTTATTAGTTGTTTGTTTCTTAAAAATTTCTGTTAGGCCTGTCAAATCGATTAATCGCGATTAATTGCATCCAAAATAAAATTTGTGTTTACATAATATATGTGTATATATGTATATATGAATACACACATAAATATGTATATATATATATATATATATATATATGTGTGTGTATGTGTGTTTATATATGCATATAAATATACACAGTACACACAATGTAAACAAACTTATTTTGGATGTGATTAATGAATTTGACCGCTAATTTCTATATAGTTTTAATTTATATTTATTTCAGTTTTACTCTCAGTCATTTTAGTACTTAAACTTTTTTAGTCCAGTCAGTTGCCAAGGCAACATTTCTCATTTTCTTTCAAGTTTTTCATCTAATATTTATATTTTATTTTATTTCAGCTGTATTTCAAAATTATAGTTTTATTTTACAACACTACTTATTTGTCATATTTGTAACTTGATAGTCCCAATTCTCGTTCACTTTGGCTGTCCAGAAAATAAGGCAGCCTGGACATTCACTCGGCATTCAATGACATGAGGGTCGATTCGATTATGAGTAATCGACATAATTTTGAAGTATCTCTTTAAGATGGAATGTGACCTCACATGCAAGTCAACTACTGTGCCAAAACATTAGTATGTGAATGAGTACGAATTTGTCCCGCTATTACACACACAAGAGTTTTTAAGGTACTATCACACACAGGGGATGGTGAAAGTATTAAGCTGCCTATTAGACATGAGTTTGTAATATGAGCCGATAAACTGAATGGAGACGCTAGCGGGTAAACTCATCAGAGCTTTATTTAGCCACGGGAAAGGCTCTTATAATATTATATACAACTGCACAGAACCGGAGAGTAACTTTTATTGAAGATTCTTAGATTGCTGAAATTTGAGGGCCTAAGGGTTGTCATACCTGAAAACATGATAAATTCCATGCATGTACCGTCACACACAAGGTGGAACGTGAGCCGATTCCTCAGGAGCCTGACGCCATCTGAACATTGCAGGAATTCCATGCTGACGTTTGGGTGTGAATGGAATGATGATATCTCATCCCACTGGGCCGTCCTTCACTCACATGGCCAGTGCTGGTGCCATTTATTAAGATGGCATATTGCTTACTGTCAGCATTTTCCTCTCATGGGAATCCCTGGCCTTTTCTGCCCTGGCTCGAGGGATTTGCCTGTTTATTGGGTCCATCTCCAAGACTCAATCTGCTGTTACTGATTGCTTGGAAGTGCCTTACTGATTTATGTCTTTTTATATCCATGCATATGCAGAGTTATTTTTAATGTCGGGAGGTAACAGTGTTGTAAACTTCATTAATAAAAAAGAGAGATACAGCTGCAAGTTACAACTAGTATCCAACAAAATGGCTAACAGACTTGCTGAAAGAAAGAAAAATAAAATTCTATATGAAATCATAAAAGACAGCTAACCATATAATTGTATATCCTCCTTGGTGTAAACAGGCCTTTACACTTGTCAAAATGGTCACTTTCATTATTATATTAAGTTATGTTAATAATGTTAATGAGAACCCCTGATGTAGAGGTTCCTGACTGGCTGTGATGAAAATAAAGTTATCATTAATCATAGCTCTGGTCAAAAATAAATAAACAAACAAACAAGCAAGCAATAGAGAACGACTCATACCAAGCCAGTTGACCCAGACAACTTTCAGCACACAAGTGTCGAAGGTGTGATTCTCACTCTCTCTCTTTCTCCATATCCATCAGCACCAATGAACCTGAGGCATCATCACATTTCTGCTTGGGGCCTCATGGTGTTAGTTGTAAAGTCGTCCAGTGTAACCGCTGCTAATGACTCTTCTTAAGGAGTCGCCCTGTGCGGATGCTCAGATGTCAGTCACGCCAGCATTTTCAAGTTCAAGAGGCCCAGGCTGGAGCAACACTGCGAGAATTTTTGGATGTAGGAAATAAACTGTTTGGAAGCATTTATGAGTTCATAATTCAAATGAATCATAATTATGAGTAAATGGGTCATTTCTGCAAAAGCCGCAACAATAGGCTATAGGCTTTCACAAACATAAATGTTGACCTAGGCTATATACATACAATAATAAATACAACGTCTAGTTCTAAAGTCTTCTTCAAATTACAGGGTCTAACTTCGTGCCACTAAAGTTCAAAACACGCGACGCGCATTGCTTCAGTGTACCAATAAAAGTCAGCCCACCCTTTGCTGTCTTCAGCAGTCTGAGTGCTACTATATCTGTTTGAGCTCTCGGCTGAGCATGCTGTCAGAATGACTTCTGTTTCTTTACACCAATAGACTAGTTTAAAAGAGTTTTCCAAACTATCAGAAGGTAGCTTAGTAGCGTTTAGAAGTTATTTTGGGCTCTACCTCCGTCAGGCTGGAGCTATCGGATCCAAAAAACTGGTGGAGTGGCGGAAAGTCGTGGAGGCACAACAGACAACACTCTCGAGGGGCAAAAATGTCCCAAGAGAACCACGATGAGAGTGTGGACCACGCGGCCCCCTTCCAGGACGTCTGTGAAGTGGAGCCCCCTGACCAGGAGTGCTGCACGCTCGTCACTATCAACATTTCAGGTCTGCGTTTCGAAACGCAACTTAAAACCCTCGCAAGATATCCGAACACGTTACTAGGAGACCCAATTAAAAGGATGCGGTTCTACAACCCGGTGAGGAACGAGTTCTTCTTCGATAGGAACAGACCGAGTTTTGATGCGATCCTGTATTACTATCAGTCTGGTGGGAGGCTTCGAAGACCCATCAACGTGCCGGTTGAGATCTTTATGGATGAAATTACATTTTACGAAATTGGTGATGACGCCATCGATCGTTTTCGAGAGGACGAGGGTTTGTTGAAAGAGGACGAACGTCCCGTTCCGTCCAGTGAGTTTAAGCGTCAAATCTGGCTGCTGTTTGAGCATCCTGACAGCTCTGGTCCAGCCAGAATGATCGCTATAGTATCTGTAATGATCATCCTGATATCCATTGTTATCTTCTGTATAGAAACTTTGCCAGAATTTAGAGAGGATGATCGTGTGTTCAACAACCACCTTGCACCGAACGGAACGACTGCTGGAAAAAGATCTAGTACATTCACGGATCCATTCTTCTTGTTGGAGACCATCTGCGTCGTTTGGTATTCCTTCGAACTGTTTGTAAGGTTTCTTGCATGCCCGAGCAAGCCCGCCTTCTTCAAAGACATCATGAACGTCATAGATATTGTGGCTATTCTTCCATATTTCATTACTTTGGGTTTGGACCTTAGCGAGGTCCAGTCAAACTCACAACAGACCACGTCTCTCGCCATACTTAGAGTTATTCGCTTGGTGCGCGTCTTCAGGATTTTTAAGCTCTCACGGCACTCCAAGGGTCTCCAAATTCTCGGTCAGACCCTACGAGCGAGTATGCGAGAACTTGGACTGCTGATATTTTTCCTTATCATCGGCATTATTTTGTTCTCCAGTGCGGTGTACTTCGCCGAAGTGGACGACCCGGAATCGTCTTTTACCAGTATCCCAGACGCGTTCTGGTGGGCGGTTGTTACCATGACTACTGTTGGATATGGTGACATGTACCCAGTGACGATAGGAGGCAAAATTGTTGGATCAATGTGTGCTATTGCAGGAGTTCTTACAATCGCCCTGCCGGTACCAGTAATCGTGTCGAACTTTAATTACTTCTATCACCGACACCGAGAGCACAACGAGGGGGAGCAAGTGAAATACACGCACGTAACGTGTGGCCGCACGTCGCCTCTTGTTTGTGACCGAAATAAAAGCGACAGTAAACCCTCGCTAGTGAAATCAGAGCATTCAGACGACGACGACTGGAATTCAATAAGCGTATTACATTTCAGTCCATCAGAGGAAAATACAGGCAAACTCACAGATGTGTAAGAACACCGAAAAGAGCTCAACGCGCGCATTTATGTGAGTATGACATTAGTCTTGCTGTGTGTAGGCTATAGTTTTGGGTTTCTTGTTTCTAGATTTCCAATTCTAGATTATGACTGGTTGAACTTTGGTCAGAGCCGTTGTTGGCTAGTTAAAATATGTGACCTCACAGTTGAATTCTACATTAGTGCGCCAAGCTTCCATCCGTTGTTTGGCAACCGTAGACGGCCAGTACACTGAAAGCGCCCGAATAACCACGTTGAACCTTGCGGCATCTCAGAATGTTTACTAACACAAAAAGGCGCGTCGCAGTTCTCCTACTTATGCACTATTCTATTCTATAGTGTTCACACTGAAAATTCTGAAAAGAAAAGGTGCACTTCAGATAACCCAGTGATGCACTTAAATGTAATGTTGGACACTTCATTTTTTTGTACTTGCTGTTGGTTTTACTGGAACGTTTAAGATTGTTTTTATGAATGCCATATAATAGAATGATACAATCAGACATTCGATTCAAAAAGAAAAAGAAAAAAATATATAACAAACCAGTGCCAAGGGAATAATAATATAAAATAATATACAAGAGGAAAAGGGTGCCATGCACTTTATGCAACAATATCACTTTGCTTACGTTTACAATCATGTAAAATATTACAGTAAAGCTTTTTTAATATGACAAAAAATGGAGTCAGACCATTTCATTTTATAGATGTGAAATTTTCCCATTAATAAAACAATTAAAACAATTGTGTAAAATATGTTTTATCTTTACTAATTCCATGGTCATTGAAGTGTATAATTATGTCAAATCCATTATGTCGTAAAATAATGACTTAGTTGCTTCTTAATTAAATGTTCTCTATCAGTCCAGAATATTTGTGTAGCCTATATACGTTGTTGGGCACTTCATTAGGAATTACAGGAATTACATATGGAAAATGACAAAAAAAAAGAAAGAAAGACAAATATACAAACATACAGGAAGAAAAGCAAAATAGTACAATTAAAACACCTAAAACCTCAAAAATCTAGCATTATTCTTATTATGTATAAGTCTGGGGGATGAAATTCAGCTATTTCATTCAAGAAGAAAACTTTGAAGACAAGACAAAACAAAGAAGAAATATAATATTTTTGTTTGTGAATTAAAGATTTTGCATACAATATAGAAGTTGGTAACTCATTCAAGAGATAAACGATCAGGGTTTTCATAATAAAAAAATTATATCTTTGGCAGAGTAATTAACTCCTAATAGGGCTGAAAATGAAAGAGCTTAAATCAGCCCAGAATTTATTCGTTTTGTTACAGTTAAAAAATAAGTAGGCAGCTGTTTCTTCTACTACACCACAGAATGAACATGTCTCATCAACATCAGAATATTCAGAATCTGAAGAATTAACAGGATACATTTTATGAAGGATTTTAAAAATAGACTTCCTTAACTTTAAATAAACAAAACTTGTCCAGCAGAAGCCAGGCACTTCTCCAGTTTAAATTCACACAAAGGATCCCCAGTAGAATTTGGTCCTCGGATGTTGGACACTTCATGCACTCAACTGTCACAGCTTTCCTTATGTAACGGAGGTGGAGGGGCTATTGGACTCTGAAGTTGGTGACAAAATAACCTTATACAAATCATACACTGGACTGTTGAGTACATAATGCATAATAAAAGTGTATAGTGTATAGTATGCAATTTGCGACAGGACTTAAGCCTACACTTCAGCTGTAAAATTAAATAAAAGTCATATTTTATTTTCAACAGAAATTCATTGGGTTTTTATTAATGGCGTAAGAATAGCAAAATATGTTAGTAGGCCTATTGCTACAATCATGAACAGGGTATAGGCAAATTATTTGTTCACTTGTCACTCAAAGGACCAACGTGATTTTATGTGTATCGATCGCCCCCTTTCGGCGGAATTAGTTTTTTTGTAGAGAGTACTGCATTACAGTCTTGCAGTAAACTCTTTTGAGAACAGATGTCACACTCACTGATAGGTGCATGTCTCATTATCCGTGTCACCACATTGATGTTACTTCTAATTGCAGGAAGAAGCAGCTGTATGAAGACATTTCTTCTCTATAAAGAAGACAGAAGTTGATATTACCTGCATAAACATGCAATTTGTGTGTATTTTTGTCAGTAGCGGTCCGTCAGAGGCTATGTGTTTAAAAGGAACAAACAGACGAACTGATACAATTAACTTTTTCAGTTTAATCATAAATGTGCATAATGCATATGATGTGCATATTTTTTTATTACGCGGAAGCTCTGGTGAGTTTTAATCACTGCACGGAAGTTACAGGAGGCTTTTTACACATTTACCAAAATGAAGGAGCGAATGATTGAATTCACACAGGTGAGTTACTGTTAGAAAGAATGGGGCTCTCCGTTCATGTAGGAAAGTTTGAAATGGTCATAAAGTAGGCTATAGGCTACAGTATTTGCGTATGTGCATGTAGTCTGTACATGGCACTGAGAAATTTTTATTCATTATTGCGATTATAAAGCTATTAATTATCAAGGCTATTTTATATCGAATGTATCATTTGTGTACGTAAGCATAATTATCAGTAAATATATAAATAGGCATATTGGTTCATCGATCACCTATTAATTTACAAATCATCCTCTCAAAACCTCACAGGCCGCTACTGGTTTTTGTAATATATTTGTAATCTAGAATTTATTTACATATTATTTATAAAATGTTTTAAGCTTTGTTTAAGTCTTCATTATGTCATTGCCTTGTGAGATATTGTTCTTAAATATCTCTATAATCTCTGCCTTGTGTAATCTGTGTGCTTTAAACATGCAAGAGTTGTACTTTGCATATGTTGCCATTTCTCAGGATAAAATGTAAGTATATGGTCTGACACTAGATGCTTGTTACCTTAACATCTTGTGGTAACCTGCCCACGTGACAGCATCAGACCATGTGAACAAGCTATTTTTCTAACACATTAATGAGGTATGAATTGTTCATTTATGTTTGATAAATAAATATTTTGTCACATTCATAATTAAACATTGTTTGAATCATTTCTCTTGATAAATTAAGTTTTAAAGGTTTTCTGTAAAGTAAAACTTTACATTATGGATTGCAGACCTGAGTGACATGACTGAGTTATCCAAAGTATTGTCCTGTGAAAGATGTTTTCTTTTGTAGTTGTTTATTACAAAATACTAACATGCTGATGATGAAAAAAAAATTAGACTGTGGCACTGTAGCATGTTACTTTGAATCATATTGCTCACCACCAGACGTATCTGGGGGTAAAAAGCTCATTGGATGTCCTGCATCATTTACTATAGCTATGGCCCAACAAACACTTCCAATTTAACTAAATTGTGCTTAGTGGATGTCCTTTTTAAAAAGCTTTTGAAGTTGAGGCATGCAATTATACTATGTCTCCAAAAATCAAGATAAAGTAATACGGTCACGGTCAGTTTAAACAGAGCGATGAAACACTTACAAGACTGTACAATTACTCCATCAATAATGTATAACAGGTGGGATCTGTGACACTTCAGACAGCTCTGATTAATGACTACTGATGCATTTACGTTGATTGAACTAATCGCTACTCACCAAAAGTAGCCTACATGGGGAAGTTATTGAACGGCAAAGTGAGGGGAGGAAAGGTCTGCCCATTTCTTATTTATGATATTTAGCAGTTAAGAGTTCACTCACTCCAGCTGCTGTTCTAACAGTGCCTCATAATGAAAACTAGGCCTAGTGCTTGTACTCTGTTTGGCTGATGGACATGTTCAGGAGATCAGCTTGATATATGTTTAATGTAGGTAGCTAACAATTTACCAAGTTCATAAGTCATCCTGTATAGCTCATATTTATTTTGTTTGTTTTTTCAATTCAAGCGTTTCCCTCTCTGAATTAAGTCACGAGTTCTTTTACATGTTCCCGACACTAATGGGAGGATTTCATGCACCGATCATTCATTCTGGTGGTGTTTGTATCGGTTTGATGATGTTTGTGCGCCACCTACTGGTAAATTGGAGGAAACATCACCGTCCGCAAGCATAAAAAAGAATTTGTATTACTACATCATCATCAGAATTATATTGGATTGTTTCATATTTAAATACATATATAGGTCAATGATGTGTATTAAATCCATAAAACTTATTAAGTTTAAACGTTTCTGTGCTGAACATATTTTAAGTTACTTAAGTTATTTTTGGGAGGCTTAAAGTAAAAACATGGCTTTATAAAATAAAATAAAAAATAAAACGTCGAATTGTGAACATTCTGAAAAGCTGACGTAAAAAAAGCATATAAAGTGTTTTAAAATATCAATATTTAAATATTATTTAAAATATATTTAAAATATTCTTTCTTAAAACATTATTGTCTGCTAAACTAAAGTAAAACGTCACATTTTGATTTTTAATGTGTTTTAATGTACGTTTTGTTCAATAAAGGGTAAAAGGAGTAACCCTAGGAAAAGCCATATCTGAGAACATCACAAAAGCAATACCTGAGGAATATTCATTGCTTAAAACTGTATGAAAACGATGATATTTCAAGGTGTAAAGGAAAAGAATAGTACTGCTTACTTAATGGCTAAACCACGTTTTGGAATCATTAAATCATATTTTTGTGGAAATGTATAGGCCTATAACTTTTCTACGAACATGAATGCAAGCATTGCATTTAGCTATAAGTTGGCACGTCAGCTGCATCTTAAAAACATGTCGGACATCATTAACCTGCATGTCAGTGGTATATTCTTGATAAAATTGTCAATTATACAGAGTGATTTCCCCACCATTCTAAATGACAGAAATGACGTTGAGATAAGTGACTCACAAATTCAAACATTCAAACGTTTCAAGAAAAAAAAAATCCAGGTAATTCTAAAGGAAAATTAAAGTGAGATTTATAAAAACAAACTGCCTATATAATCAGCGTATGCTGGAAAACGCTCTAACCGAGTGTGCTGCAAAAAATCGCCGTCCGTCCGAGTACATACACCCACCCACGTTATTCTATAAATATTCCAACTCCCGCACGATCTAGTCTCAAACAGCACGCATGGAGCTGTGCGGCGTTTTAACTCTTTTGGGTGGAAAAAAGTCGCAGTATTCCACGACAAAGAGCTCTTTAGGGAAGTCGTCTTTTTATTGTGGTTATTGGTTAGTGTGGTCATTTAGTATCTGTGCACATTAGTGCTCGGCGAATCAGATACTGCGCCAGTGCTGTTGGCACATAAATGCTCTCGCGCATTGCGTGGACAAGCACTTGTGGCCACGCGCGGTCTGCATTGCGTCGAACCCCTCCCCCATACTGTCCCACCCCCTCTCTCGCTCCGCGTTCTCTCATGTGCAATACAGTGCAACAATATGTTGGGCATGATTAAGGAATTATTCCCTCTCCCCTTATTGATCCCCCCTTTAAGAAGCCTTTCGCATCCATACCCCCCTGTCAGTGTGTCCAGATAAAACAGACTGCTCGTCATCTTGTCTACTCGTAAGGGAAATTTTGCTGATGCAGTAATGTCTGGAAATGGTATGGTTCGCTTTTGCCCCCTTAATGTATCTCCCGCCTGAGCTGAGCTGCAGCATTACAATTTCTCATGCAGTATAAGCCATTTACACCAAGGTGCCGCCGCACGAGCAGGAGTGGAAGGAGGACGTTGCGGCTACATGTTTTCTTTTAGCCTTTTTTCCCTGCTTTTTGTCTTTTAGCACACGTTTCAATTGAATGTGAAGCTTTGTAATACATATCAAAGCCAATTTTTTCATTATAGCATCGCTTGCGAATGTTGTGAATAATTTCCGTTATGGATGTGATATTTATGGAAAGCAACCGAACAGTTTGAAAGTGAGAAGATGTGAAGAGCCTTTTACAAGCGTATTTTCTACAACAAAAGGGAATCCAGGGTGCATTACTGACAGGAGACTGCTGGCAGAAGACGCATTCCTTCAGTAGCGAGGTGAGCACTAAAAATGCCTGAATAAGCCTGAAGTGAAAATCATTTTCATGTTTTCCTATTTATTTACTCAAACTTACGTATAAGCAATTCAGTAATATGTTTCCCTATATAGTGACAAGTAAACTGCATGTATGTGGTGATGGAGTAAAAGTGACACTGTCCTGTCACGTCTTTTCAATAACCTAATTGAGCATAATGATTCAGAATTGTGCTCTTAAGGCTATGCATTTCTGTCATTTATACATACAGTAACATGTAAATAAATAAATAAGTAGTGTGAACTTGCTGAGCTAGCAAATATCGCTGCTGTTCGATCCATTTTTCTCTGACTCGGTGACAGAGGCAGCTGTAGTGGATGCAGCAGAAAGGAGCGATGCTCGAATCAGTGACAACCGCAGTGGGGCCACACTGAGGAAAGACCAAGTTATACCCTATACCCAGGGATCGAGATAGATTTGAGGGTCTGGAAACGGAGAAAAGGAAGGAAAGCTACGCCTTTGGGAGAGCAGTTGGATGTCTACTCAATTAAATTAACTCCTGCGGAGCTCCATCTTTGACCTGCAGGATGACAGTCATGGCTGGGGACAACATGGACGAGACCTCTGCCGTGCCGGGGCATCCGCAGGACACATACCCCCCTGACCACGACGATCACGAATGCTGTGAACGGGTGGTCATCAACATAGCCGGGCTGCGCTTTGAGACCCAGCTCAAAACTCTTGCCCAGTTTCCAGAGACTCTGTTAGGTAACCCAAAGAAGCGAATGCGGTATTTCGATCCCTTGAGAAACGAGTACTTCTTCGACAGAAATCGTCCAAGCTTTGATGCCATCCTCTACTACTATCAGTCTGGGGGAAGACTGAGAAGGCCTGCAAACGTCCCGTTGGATATGTTCTCAGAAGAAATTAAGTTCTATGAACTTGGGGTCGATGCGATGGAGAAGTTTCGTGAAGATGAGGGCTTCATTCGCGAGGAAGAGCGGCCTTTACCGGAGCGTGAGTTTCAACGGCAAATATGGCTTCTGTTCGAGCATCCTGAAAGCTCGGGGGGCGCCAGAGGAATTGCTATTGTGTCCGTTATGGTCATTTTAATTTCCATTGTCATTTTCTGTTTGGAGACTTTACCTGAACTGAAAGAGGACCCTGGGGGGCGAATGCACACTATAGGCAACACCACCTTCTACTACAAACCAAACATCTTGACCGATCCCTTCTTCATCATAGAGACCCTCTGCATCATCTGGTTCTCATTCGAACTGATAGTGCGCTTCTTTGCTTGCCCGAGCAAAGCAGCCTTCTTTAAGAACATGATGAACACCATAGACATTGTAGCCATCATTCCCTACTTCATCACGCTGGGTACAGAGTTAGCAGAGGAACCGGACGGAAAGGAGGCAAAGGGAGAGCAGGCAACATCACTGGCCATCCTCAGGGTGATCCGTCTGGTCAGGGTGTTCAGGATATTTAAGCTGTCCAGACACTCCAAAGGCCTTCAGATTTTGGGACAGACCCTGAAAGCCAGTATGCGAGAGCTTGGATTGCTTATTTTCTTCCTCTTCATTGGTGTCATATTGTTCTCCAGTGCTGTGTATTTCGCAGAGGCCGAGGAAAAAGAGTCCTACTTCACCAGCATCCCAGATGCGTTCTGGTGGGCAGTTGTGTCGATGACCACCGTAGGCTATGGGGACATGGTGCCGGTGACTATAGGGGGCAAGATCGTGGGTTCCCTGTGCGCCATCGCTGGTGTGCTAACCATCGCCCTCCCCGTGCCTGTCATCGTGTCCAACTTCAACTATTTCTACCATAGAGAAACCGAAGGAGAGGAGCAGGCCCAACTCCTCAACGTGAGCAACCCAAACATTGCCTCTGATTCCAACTCCAGTCGTCGCAGCTCCTCAACCGTCAGCAAGTCTGAGTACATGGAGATAGATGGAGATATAAACAACAGCATCGACAACTTCAGAGAGGCCAACCTCAGAACTGGCAACTGCACTATCCCTAATCAGAACTGTGTGAACAAAAGTAAGCTGCTAACCGATGTCTAGAGACACAGTAGAAAATTCAGTCACATACATATGAATGCTTACTTTACCTCCTCTCGTGAGCCCTTGCAATGCGAATATCTCTACAATGCAGACGAAAGAAAAACACTACACCAAAACATATAGAACATAACTGCAGCAAATGAGACAGATGATTCAGTTTATACTTAGTCTAATACATTTCCAAAGAGGATGATTGAGGAAAAAAAGCCTCTTCGAGCACCTAGCTAACATCCACAGACTCTCGACGACAGGATTACTTAAACATCACGCATGGACTGCAGACTACATTTCAGCAAGCTGCACACTGCATCCGGGAAAGTGCATAAAAGACCAAGTGCAGTGTTCGGTGGACGCCTCGTCCGTAGGTGGTCTTCCCCAACTGACCAGCAAAGCACCTTATATGAACAAGACTTATCTTCTGCTGGGATGCTATGGAGGCCAAGGTCATCGCCTCATGGACATCCGCATTGCTGCTATTTTGCAGCAGATGCTGTAATTTAGATATCACCAAGTGATTAAATGCCATGCCCTTTAGATATAAGACAGCACAATGCCGAAAGAGGAGCCTCATAGTTAGCATGTTTTGATTATCCTCATTTTGATATTGGCATGCGTCGGACATTACCTCATGACGATAGGAAATCCATTCCTGTTTTGCTTTTCTTTTGCATTCGGTTCCATCAGCTCCCCTCTCCATCGACCTCCTCTCATTTGTCACCATGAAAAGTGCACTAGTGTGTCATGATTTGAGATGCTTATCATTTAGGTGTATTTAAAGACTGAATGTTTAACCTTACGGGAAACAGAATCTTAATGATATCATAGCATGTCAAAAGAACCTGCATTATGGCCTAATCAACTAAGGTACTGTGTATCCTAGTATATTTAATGCATGACATCGGTATAATACAGCTTGTTGCAATTGAGATACCTCATAAGGGTGTCGTTGTTACAATCAGGGAAACTAGGGACGTTAGTTCCTTGACATTTTCTGAAATGTGACAAAATATATATGCAAGCCCCAACGCTGGGATGCAAACTATTCAATCTAAAACGTAGTCAAAGACACAGAAAAAGAACTATCAAGATACTATCAAATGCATATACTCATACTAAGCGCACCTGTAAAAAAAAAATATATAAATAATAATATAACTTTAATAGTGCAGTGCATGGGCATTCTCTCTCTCTCGAGGAAAAAAAGAAAAGAAAACTATGGCCAATTATACTTCACGCTTCCATTTTGCGATCAAATTTAGGATTTACGGTATTAAAAATAGCTTAATTTATCTTAGCAGGATGCAAAAGAGATCATGGCTCATATTAGTTGCTAGTGCCTTTGACCCTCTCAGCAACCGGACAGGTGAAAGTGCCTCTGAGTAACTGGAGTTTTAGGCAGGGCAAGGGAACAATATCTGCTCTAGAACTGTCATAATGTATGTTGAGGCTGGTCATTACAGTGTATACAGAGTGCTTTTCATTTTCATTGTTGTTCTTTTGAACGTGACACATGGATGTCAGGCACAAATGCTAACCTTTTCTGTGTTTTCATATGACAGCTGAGCTTGAATATGAAATTGGACATACGACTTTCACACCATGGGACCTTTTAGAGTTTTCAATCTGCCTTTCATTGTGGTTTTGATTATGTTGTGCCATAATAAAGATTCTACCTCAGTGAGGTCGCCGCACAGCTCACTGCAGAGCAGAACACGAGAGTACATAACAGCCTGTGAAGTGTGATGATACGTCAGAAATAATACACTTAGAGTACCCCAGAATTAGCCTTTTTTTTCAAGCACTTAAAACAAACGCAACAATGCGACTGCCCCTGACCCCTCGGATCTGAAACGCTCCCTTGCTAAGCACAATCAACATTCATTTTGGTTCTGTTTTTGATGGTTTGTTATCACAGTGCTTTTTTACAAGAGAGAGATCTGGGGAGAGAAAACAGCACAGGCTTTCATATACCACAGGGTACAAATTACACAACCGTTTACATTGTTAAAAATGAGCAAAATCTGTCATTTTGAAGTAATGATAGTCGTCTAAAAGACATGTCTACTTGATGTTAAAAGTCATGCTTAGCCCATTAAGACTATATTAAGCCTGCAGGTACTGTAAAGAACAAATTTTAATGCAGACCTAATTGATGTGTACTGATGACTTAAACATTGATGTGAAATCTTGTGTTCATGGTAATGTGGGCCAGTCCAGTGCATAGCGCTACATTTTTCATTTTCACATTCCTTGATAATTAAAAAAAACACTTTAAAATAGCCGCGATTAAATGAGTCTGTTTGGGGTAATTTCATTTAACAAACACAAGCAAGTCTGCCAGACCAGCTCGTAAACAAGTTGCCAGATCATGTGATCTTTACTGATCTGTGAGGTGTGATTGCAATCAAAAGCAAACAGCAGTATTTTACTTTGGGCCGTTTGCTATAACACTAACAAGGGTTTAAGTCACATCTGCCGCAGCTCCGTGTCAGGAAGAACTATTCAGGGTTTTATTAATCTGCTTTTTGTTTATAAGTCATAACATTGCTTCAAAAAATGGGCTTAGCAAGCTAAACAAATCATTGTGTTACTTTTTATCTAGAATTAAAGAATTAACATGCATGATTTTCATGCAATTTATTTTATCACAACAATTTAATTTAATATGGTAAATGGAACAATTGTTAAATAAGAACTAACTGTTTCTACTGGGCATGTGAGCGGTGATCAAACCCTATGGTGCTATGCATAATCCTGTATTTAATAACTACACCATAAATCATAGCAATAGGGATTAAGTGTATTGCAGGACTGTCCAGAATGCTCATTTTTATATTCACCAAGGGCTGTGGCAAACTTTTGATAAGAATAGAGATTTAAACCTATTATAATGCAAGAGAAAAAATAATTACCACCAGTGAGTTGGCAAAATTCATATTTCATGTACTTTGTTGACGGACTATATTTAGAAGAAAAATGTCCCCTTAACAATATTGCTTCCTTTTCCCTATTGAAGCAAATTACTATATGTTAATAGAAGTTTATTTGGCCTCTGATCTGAGGTGAAGACAATTTATGAGCAACATTTTAAATAAATTATGACTTAGAGGTACAGTAAGTCTTTTATCAGTTGAGTCTGTAAAGGTGTAAATCCATAACATATTACATAGATTTAACTTTTTAGTAACTTATTTGGTCGTTTTTCTATTTATAAATTTGCATCGCTCAGAATTTCCTAAAAACACACTGAAATCTAACTGTATTTCAAGAAGGAATGAAAGATAAAATGACTGACATGCCATCATAACTATTACTAAGTTACCTGATGTGAAAGCTAGTTGTCAAAAAACGAGAAACCGTAGTTGTGCTCCCAGGTTGTGGCCTTTTAGAGGATGTTGCAGACATACTTATTTTCTTCACCTGCGTGGCCTCGTCTAGCTATATTACCATGTTGCGTCCATGTGGCGCTATAGTTAACTGTGCTTTAAAGAACCCATGCCCTTGATAAAACTACAGTAGACTCACAAACAAGTCCATAAGACAAGCCATTCCAAATATATAACAGATTATAGCTTGTATTATCGATATCATTAAATAAATCAAATAAATGGCATTAGCATCAAAAATGTACTTTTTTGTAATAACTTTAACTCCATACCACCATACACTCTTAAAAATAAAGGTGCTTCAAAAGGTTCTTCAAGCAATGCCATAGAAGAACCATTTTTGGTTCCACAAAGAACCATTCAGTCAAAGGTTCTTTAAAGAACCATCTCTTTCTTACCTTTTTGTAATCTGAAGAACCTTATTTCGCCACAAAGAACCTTTTATGAAACATAAAGGTTCTTCAGATGTTAAAGGTTCTTTATGGAACCATTTAGACAAAAAGGTTCTTCTATGGCATCGTGAAGCACCTTTATTTTTAAGAGTGTACCAAACCAAAACTCAACAGCAACCTAGCAATTGCAAAAATCTGCATGGTGTATGGAAGACTGCATGAGCTTAGCCTTTCAAAACTGAGGATCAACTATATTCTGGTTCATTTTTTAAGCCCTTGCTGTCATTTGTTCCTAAAGCCATCTTCATTATTTATACGCCAACGTTGTTCCCTTTTGTTTGGGAAAAATTCTTTAATCCGTCAAACTCCACTGATCAGATATTTGTATTCGGATTATTTATTTATTTATGCTTCATTTGAGATTTTGCTGTTTGCTTTCAGGATGCTGAATGATACAAGTCATGCATTATAATGTCATGGAAGTGATGCATTTGACGAAACATTTAATTCCGCCAAAAAAGATAGCAGGACCCCCAAACTATACAGTGATTCCGTACTGACCATCTCAGCTACATCTTTATGTTAGACAGATGATGACTCCATATTAATGTTTGTTCCATGTACATCTGGTCAAACTGTTCATGTTGTCTTCACATGTTTTTGTACGTTTTCTGTCTTCGTTATGCTAAATGGTGTTACGATGTTTTAATTTTGTTGTACGTTGACAAAGGCATGGTCTGTGATCTATGCAAGGGTTCTTTTGTTTCTTATGTCAAATATGATTTGATCATACATCCAAATCAATAAATTTTTAATTATCAGCTGTCAGGTGTATTCTGGTTACTGGTTTTTGGAGACTCTGGCTGTGGTACATTTTCAAATCGTTTAGCTTTGAGTAAATGACACTCTCAGAAAACAGTAGAATACTCTACACTCTCAGAAAACAGTACAAAACTGTCACTGGGGCAACTTATTTGTACACATTATGTACTAATATGCACTTTTAAAGTACTGATAAGATACTAATATGTGCCATATAGGGGTAAAATACTGCCCTAGTGACAACTTTGTACCTTTTTTTCTGAGCATGTACAATTTTGTGTCCCATATAATTTTTTTTTTACAAGCATTAGACACATAAATCGCACTTTTTTTTTTTACTGAGACATGTTACATAAACAATTACTTAAAATAAAGCATGAAAAATAGCTAGTTTAAAACACATGAAATGTCTGTATTAAACCCTAAAATCATAATTTCACAATTTTAACAATCTGTTGAAATGATATTCCATGCTTAGAAGTGAGCATTATTACATTTTTAAATTATTAATACTTTTTAAATTATTAACTAATGTTAATGAGCTCAACTTAATGTTTATCTGCCCAACTGACCAGCAAAGCACCTTATATGAACAAGACTTATCTTCTGCTGGGATGCTATGGAGGCCAAGGTCATCGCCTCATGGAC